CCACCTTTTCATTCTCACTATCATCATCGGATGAGCAACTTGATGAATCAATATCAGTGAGCCAATCATCGACGATGTATACCTTGTCATTTTTCTTCTTCTTATGGAAATCCTTCTTCTTGCCATCTTTCTTCTTGTATGGCTTGTTTTTCTTCTTCTCATCATCATCTTCATTGCTTGAGTCATCTTTCTTGCCCTTGTACTTCTTCTTGTACTTGTCTTTCTTGGGCTTGGGGCATTGATGTGCTAGATGACCAAGTTCTCCACAATTATAGCAATCCATCACGGAGATTGGCTTCCTTCTATTGCTAGTGAAGAACTTCTTTTTGCCGTCAAACTTGACACCATTCTTGTTGAGCTTCTTAAGCATCTTGGTGGTTCTTCTCACCATGAGAGCAAGACTTGCATCATCAATTTCATCATCACTTGAGCTCTCATATTCAATTCTTGCTTTGCCCTTGCTCTCTTGGCTAGCCTTGAATGCCAAGTCTTTCTTCTTGGTGGAGGAAGAGCCATCTTGTGGTGTGATGTGCATATACATTTCATATGCATTGATCTTTCTCAATATTTGTGTTGGTGTAGCGGTGGAAAGATCACCTTGATGAAGTACGGTCACAATATGCCCATATTTGTCAATGGGGAGGACACTCAAGATCTTTCTTACAACACCGAATGGTTGCATTTGTGTGAGTCCAAGCCCATTAACTTTCTCTACAAGAACATTCAAGCGTGAGTACATTTCATTAGCACTTTCTTTCGGAAGCATCTCAAAGGAATTAAGCTTTTTCATGACAAGATGATAGTGTTCCTCACGTTCACTCTTTGTTCCCTCATGGAGCGCACAAATGTTTGACCATAGTGCATGGGCATCCTTGTGGTTCCGCACACGATTAAACACATCTTTGCAAAGGCCTCTAAAGATGGTGTTTCTAGCCTTTGCATTCTATTTTTCATAATTTACTTCATCACCTTGAAGGTTGGCGGGATCCTTAGGTTTTAGGAAGCCTTGAGAGGTGGCTCTAAGTTTTCCAACATCTAAGGCTTCTAAGTAAGCCTCCATGCAGATTTCATAAGGAAAATCATCTCCCTCAAAGATAGGAGGAGGTCCATCCCTGTGGAACACCTTTCTCTAGGCGGTTAAGCCTAAATTTATGAGCATGAGGCTCTGATACCAATTGAAAGGATCAAGATGCCCAAGAGGGAGGGTGAATTGGGCTAATTCTAAAATTCTTTGCAATAATTAAACCCTACACTTAGCCCACTTTACCCCTTATGCCTAGAATATGTTCCTATTATTCTACCACACAAAAGTTTTGCACCCTAGGTTCTAATCCTACTCTAGCATGGAAATTCTAAGAATGTAAAGACAAGAATTGAATTGCTCAAATGTAAATGCTTAAAGTAAAGAGAGGAGAAGGAACGCGGCAATATTTTGCCGAGGTATCGGAGAGTCGCCACTCCCCACTAGTCCTCGTTGGAGCACCCGCGCAAGGGTGTAGCTCCCCCTTGATCCACGCAACGATCAAGTGCTCTCTATGGGCTGATTCTTCGACACTCCATCGCGGTGAATCGCCCACAACCGCTCACAACTTGAGTTGGGTCATCCACAAGCTCCGCCGGATGATCACCAAACTCCCGATCACCACCAAGCCATCTAGGTGATGGTGATCACCAAGAGTAAGAAGCACGAACTCTCACTTGACCACAACAAGCCTAATGAGTAGGGTGGATACACACTTGCTACTCTCCTTGCACTAATGAGGCCTTAATCTTAGATTCTCAAATCTCAATTACCTCACTAGGCTCTTGCTCTCCTTAGCACTCTCAAGGGTGTTTCTCAGCTGAACAAATAGGTAAGAGACCTCCCTTGAATGAATAGAGGAAGTATTTATACCCCTTATTCAAAATGAATCGTTAGGAGGTCGAGTCAGCACTCTGCGGGGTGATCGGACACTCCGGTCAAGGTGATCGGACGCTCCGATCAGTTATCCTCACCATAGAGCCGTTAAGTTGTGACCGGACTCTGACATGTGTCCGGTCAGCATTGACCGGACACGTCTAGTCACAAAAACTGTTGTCTGGAACCTTACTGATGTTGACCGGACGCTGGCATCCAGAGTCTGGTCACTTCACTGTTCAGCATCTGGTCAGTTATCGGATCCTGACCAGTGTCCGGTCAGCACTGACCAGTCGCGTCCAATCAGGAATTTCCCTCTCTAGAACCTCTCTGGAGTTGACCAGACTTTGGCACCCAGCGTCCAGTCACTTTTCACTTAGCGTCTGGTCGCAACTAGATGGCTCCATTTGATCAAATGAACTGACCGGACTCACCCTTCAGTGTCTGGTCACAACCAGACCAGCGTCCGGTCAGTCATTTGACCCTCCATTCACTTCCAACTTGAAATCATATGTGAATGAAGTTTGCTCCAATTGATCTTAGGGCTACTCTAGAGCTAGCTTGCGCTAGATTTGATAAGTGTGCACCACACCTAACCCACTAGACTCACCTAGGTCAAGCTACTAGTCCATACCCCCCTTAATAGTACGGCCAAAGGAAAAACAAGGTCCTAAATTACTATAAGTGTCTCTTCAACACCAAATGACACTTAGAACTAGTCCATCCTTAACCTTGTCGTCCATCCTTTGAAAACTGAAACGATTTCCATTGAAGGGGCATGACAACCATGATTGCCCAATCAAGTGCCATTACCATGACCTAACTTAATTGCCTCTGCAAAACACACGTTAGTCATAGTAATCTCGTATTGTCATTAATCATCGAAACCCAACTAGGGGCCTAGATGCTTTCAGTCGGTCGGCCACTGCTGCGCCGCTGCTGCTCGGTTTTAGGCCGACGATGGCCGACTGACGGAGCAACATCAAGCACATGTAACTCCCAAATGTGCTCGAGTTGGTGAAAAACCCCTTAATAGAAATGTAGAGCTACATGTATTGTCCAACTTTGCTTTTATAAAGCTTCCTCTAATTTGCCATAGTTTTTAAACTACAATGCTCCAAAGTAAGCTACTTTGAAACAGAAACTAGCTTTAGACTTAGCAAAATTTCTAAGTCCTTAAACATCATTTGATTGCTACTTTGCAGCGGTTTTTGACTATGTTAGGCACTGAATTAGCTCATGACCCTTAAATAAAGTTTGTTACCCATAAGATAAGCTACAACTTTTATTAAGGGTGCACTGCCATGCAATCACTCTAAGCTACTGTTCAACTTTGGTCAAACTAGCATCATGAAAAATGACATTTTGAGTAAATTAGGATTTAGAAGCAAAATTGGCCCATGTCATGAATACAAACATTGTTTCATTTACCATCCTAGATATGTCTAAGGTGTTTTTGTGACCTCACAACCATTTCTTACATTGGTCACACATGATCACAAGCATATGCATGTATATAAGCAACATCACATGTGATAAAGATAGAGTAAATGAGATGAACTTTCATATGGTCATGCTCATGAATGAATGGATGATGCTTTTGCTCATGAAATGCAAGTGCCAAATTACAATGCTTAACACTAGGGTGTTACAACAACTCCCCCTTTGTTTGAGAAAAAGGAGATATGGGTGACCATAAAAAAAGGAGACGTATCAGGGAGCTGCTGGAGCAATGAAATTGCCTTATGTCCCCTAATATGACAGGTTTATGGGAATGAGAGGATGGTAGTAGTTTCTAAAAAAGCAGTTGGTAAATCGATGAGTTTTCTAGTGGCTAAAAAAATGAAGAGCATATTTGTTGAGTTCCTCCAACAGTTACCTAAATCTCGATTTTAAAATATAGAAGACAATTTTACATTAAGGACTCCGATCCTAAAATATATAAGACAATTTTACATCAGGAATCCAAATCATTCTAACCAATTTTTATATTTTCCCTCTCTCTTATATTTGCATCATAAATCATGTCCTACTTTTTATTCTTCCCCACCTCTTTCCACCTTTAGATTAGCGGACGGATTAGCGCGCATATTTATCCGTGCGATTGGATTATTTTTCCCAAGTGCGGAAAAGATTAGGAGTTGAGATAGGGAGTTGTTGGAGAGTAGCGTTTTCAATTTTGCCAAAGAAATCTAGATTAAAAGTGGGTTTTGGAAACTCTTGAAGATGGTCTTAGAGCATCTCTAAGAGTATCCTAAATCTCCTTCCCAAAAACACCATGTTTCCAACTCCCAAAAAGTTATGTGGAAAAAAAAGAAGGCCATCTCTAGTATTACCTAATATTTCACTTTAAAAAAATCAAAATTTAACGCCACTTGGGTTATTTTTTTTTTGTGGCAATTTTTTTTTCCGCGTGAAAGGCTTCGTAGTCGCGCGCAGGCAGGCACCCCGCCACCCTAGCTCTCGCTCCAGCACCTCCCAGGAGGCGGCCGTGGCCACCTCCCAGCCAGCCTCAGTAATATTGTGACGAGTCTACAAATATGAACAAATAAATCAACAGCAATTTCCATAAATAAGAAAATTATGTTTACAACATCATAACCCTAGGAATCTGAAAGTAATATTCGCAAAAGAAAAACTATATGAAAGTTATGTTTAGAACATCATAACCAGGAAACAATACCACGCGAACAGTACCATGCAAGCAGCAGTAAGCAGCATGTACAGGCCGTCAGCAGGCCAGTAGCACCAGCCGGCCATCAGCACGTACACGCCATCAGCAGGCCAGTAGCAGCAGCAGCCGGCCATCAGCAGGCGAGCAGGTAGAAGCAGTCGACCATCAGCAAGGAAACCAGCTAGCAGCAGCCGGCCATGGCCTTGCACACACAGGCAGCAGCAGTCCAAAACACACTCGGCCACGCGTAGGCACGAGGGAACAACCAAGGGCGGACGCCAGCAGTCCACGGCAATCTCGGCGGCGGCAAGAAGCACACAGGGCCGTGGCAAACCTAGCAACGGCCAAGGCAAACCTAGCGACGACCAAGGCAGTTCTAGCGGCAGCGGGTAAGGCAAACTTAGCGGTGACGGCGGCCGGCAGGAAGCCATGGTGGTAGCGGCGGCACAGCAAGTCCACGGCAAACCAGGTACGTACCTCGTCGCTACATCTGCGGCAGCATCGATCGTCTATCCTAGACGGCGAGCGTTGGACGACAAAAAGGAACTCATGATGGAAGAACTGGTGATGGAGGAACTCGCGCGCGAAGGGACGATCGTGGCAAAAGTCCGCACGTAAAGATGGAAGCCGCGCGGGAAACCTCTTACGGCACGACGCCAAGTCCGCGTAAAGTTACACGCAATGGAGTTTTTTTTTCTTTCCCAAATGCTAAGTTTGAGAGGATGGTTTATGAGTTGTTCTAAAGGTATTTATTTCGATCTAGGATCGGAAAGAGATTTATATTAGATAAGATGCTCTTAGGCAATAGCACCAGGCAATTGATCCTCTCGGTAATCTAGGATTGGTTCCTCTTGGTATCTATTTTTATCGGGAAAACTGCCTATCGAAATGCTTTCGGACCCGCGTGGGGTCAACGCACCCGGTTTCCTCCCCCCAAATCTCACTCAATCCCCGTGCTACTCCCGAGTCCCGACTCCCGACTCGCGTCCTCTCCTCCGAAGTCACCACCGCATGGACGACGCAGCGAATCCCACCCCTCCACCATCCACCTCCACCGCCGCATCCGCGGCGGCCGCGGCCGCGCAACACCAGCAGCTCCAGCGTCAACTCTTCCTAATGCAGCAGGCGCAGTCCCACCCGCAGCAGCTGTCGCAGCAGGCCATGTCCCGCTTCCCCTCCAACATCGACGCTCACCTCCGCCCCCTAGGCCCGCTTCGCTTCCAACAGCCTCAGCAGCCCCAGCCCCAGCCGTCTCACTCCCAGGGTCCATCCCAGTCGCCGTCGCAGGCCACGCAGCAGGCGTCCCCCAGCAGCAGCAGCAGCAGGCGGCGGCGGCGGCGGCGGCGGCGCAGGCCCAGGCCCAGGCGGCGCGGGTACGAAGCCCCGAGATGGAGATGGCGCTGCAGGACGCCATGCGGGTCTGCAACCCGGACGTCAAGACACCCTTCCAGTCCATCGAGGACGCTGTCAACAGGTGCGCTACCGTCGGATTCGTGCCAAATCTTGCTACTTTCCTATTTGGATGTGTATCTAAATCTCGATCTCGAGGTATTTGTTTGAAACACGTATCTGTGGCGAAGGGGAGGTTGTGGAAATGATGGGTTAAGCATTTATTTTTGCAGATCTCCACGGTTTTAATACGGCGATTGAGGTTTGAGTGCGCGTGAAAAATTCGTCTTTGTGTGATGTAGTGCGAATTGATGATATAATTTTTGTTATGCCTGGCATGTTTGTTCGGTCTACTGGATGCAATATTGGGCTGGTTACTGATGACATGTCGGAATCTGATTAGTTCCGATTTTTGCATATCCTTTTTGGCTGTTGGCTATCGAATGCTTTCAGAAATCACCTCTTCTGTTGAGCTATTTTGGGCAGTAAGTCTAGCAGTGCGTTGTATTCTGTAAATAGGTATTTCAATTGTATTAATTAATTGCTGTCATTGGATTATAATATTTGTTTTGGGTGAAAAATTCAGTCTTATCTTCGTCAGTAGATTTCCAGTTTTGTTCATCTCTTCCAATGTTGTATAGCATTGTGAAACCAGATGGTGGCGTTGCAGAAGTACTTGGTAAGGGTTGGTATTGAACTTCACAAATATAAGAGTGCACATTCTGCATTGAATTTCAAACAGATGGGCTGGTTATCCTTCTTTATGTGAATAAATCTGTATAGAAACACAATTTGTCATTCAATAATCAATACTATTCTCAGAATTACATTTCTGTACTACAATAATGATTTTATCATAAAAGTTTTTTAAAAAATTGTCATGGGCATTTTATCCAACCTGTTTTTTTTTTCCTAAGTCATGTCTGGGAAGACAAGTTTGTAGTTTTTACCGTTACAAGCAGTTAAACTGATTGCTATTAATTACTACTCAAGTTACATTTAGCATTCTGTATTCAGTGTTGAGTTGTTTCCTTCGTGTATGATAACCTGTTGCTCCTTCAGTTACAAATACTTGAGCGATGTTTTTGGGTTGTTTGAACTCAGTCATTCTATTCTTTGATAACAACTTACATTTTATGTGTTGAGTTTCAGTGTTTGAAAACTATAGAAGCAGATTCGTATAGTAAGGTAGTGTCATAATAGTTCACTTTTATTATATCATACAACTATATTATTTATAATAAAAAAGTTGGGTCAACGGTATCGGTGTGTAAGACATCACTTATTTGTGGCTAAATGGAGTATATCATTACTGTACCTTTGTCCTTTTATTATATACAAACTCAATCGAATGGAGTCCATTTGTTTCATTGAACTTGCCTTCGATGATATGAATGTTTAGTCACATGTACCAGTTTATGCCCTGACTGTAATATGAGGGTTTATTCACTGTGCTTGTTGATTCCCTGTTTTCTTTTGCTAGTGTTATTGTTGTACCCTTACCTGAGTGGTGTTCAGCGATGAAGTTTTGATGCAACACCATAAGTTGTTGGGGACTGGTTTGGATTTTGTCTTTTCTTTCTTCCTGCAACTCATTGTAGATCATTAAGCCAGATATTTTGTTGGCTTATTCAAACGGATACTAGTTTTTTCTCACTATCACGCTACATGTGGAATTCATAATCACATCATGTTACTGGGAACATACCATGTAGAATGTCATATATGCTTCTGGCTATGGGGCTGAAGCTGAACATTGGTACCTTATAAGATCCACGTTTTTTGATTCGTTGTGGCATCCTGTTGCACTGGGGTTATGCCACACATGCTGTCTTGCATGTGAGAAATGCTTCTACTCACTCGTGACATGCGTACGACAATGGAGCAGTAATTAATATGACTACATAAGTCTAAGTGGTGTAGCACACACCTTAGAATCTTCTGGAGTAACGGGCAAATGCTCCCCTTGTGAAGGTCATGTGCACGGTGCACGTGGTGTACGCCATCTAATATCATACCTTCCACATGACAACGCAATTACAGAAACTGCATTGTTAACTATAGTTCGCATTATTTTTGCATTTCACCTCATCCCAGGAACAACAAAATAAGTAATCATTTATGCAAAATCAGAAAACTAGTCTTATATGATTTGTACCCTGCATATTGCAAGAATATTTTATTTATATTGACCCTGCAAAGTGGAAACCAAACTATGTGCCCTCAGAGTAATATAATATATTGAAATTGTTGCATCAAGCCTTTTTCTCATGAGTTAGTAGTACAAACACACCATTCAAGTTTATTAACAATTGGGAATCCTTGTGATTGTAGCTAGAGAGTAATGTGACGCTACTGCATGTAAATATGTATGCATGTGCTGGGTTCAGATGAGATAATCAAATATCACCTGGGTAATACAGATTTTTTTTTCTTTTGTCTCTTAAAGTAGTATTCCTTTTTGAAGGACGTATACACATTCTGAAGTGAATACATTATAATTTGTGTACTGCTGAATTTCCATTGTGGAAGTCCTTGGTCTAAAATAAAATGTAAGTTTCTACCTAGTAGATTAAGATGTGCCGTTATTATCTCCTGCCTTTGTAAACTGTATGATCTCTTCATTCTCCATATGGTATTTTACTCATACCATTTATTCCATTTGTGTTAAAACTAGGTTATTGCCTTACCATGTTGTTGCCGACTATGAGGCTGAAGAAGATGACAGAATCCTTGATAGTGATACAACAGGCCAGATTCCTTCTCGCCTGCAGCAATGGGACCATAACATTCTAGTGAAGATTGCTGAGTTCACGACAACATTTGACAAGCAAGTATTGGCATATAACATAATGACAAAGAAAAGGGCCATTGGTGAGTTCAGGTCAGAGGAGCGGCTCATGCTGGAGCAAGCCTTATTACAGGAGGAAAAGCAGGCTATGCTGGGACTGAGAGCAGAGATAGAGTCGAGAGAGAAAGCTGGTCGCGAGGCTGCTGAAGTGAAGATGCGTATGGCAATGGAGCATGCTCGTGCTGAGGCACAAGCACACTCTGAGATGATGAATCATGGTCCTATAAGGGCCAGTGCTGTTGCTTCGCAAGGGGATGATGGTCCAAGTCATGACATGGTGCAAGAACATGGTGAAGATGAGTGGGGAAATTCTGAGAGGGATGATGAAGATCCATCTGAGGATTTCCTCAATGATGAGAACGAACCAGAGAATGGGAACTCAGATGGGCAGGAGGACTGGCGCAGATCTGGGGAGCTTGATCTGAACTCTAGGTAAGGCAGTTGGATTTGCACAGGTTGAGTGAACTACATGAAAAATTCTAGGCAGGCTACGGTATGCTGGTATTATATCTATTGTTCTATTGTTGTTTTTGGTGAAGATGATTTAACCGGTCTTTCTGGCTGTAAACATGCCATTCAAACAAATTAGCTTCTCTGCTGTTTGACTATAGCAATATTTACTTCAGCCCTCAATATGTGCCATTTTCAACTAGGAAAAAAGAGAATTCCCGCATTCATTTCTTGTACATCCATGACCTTTCTATCCATGGGCCTTAATGAAAATATATAATTGCATCAAAGTGTTAGTCTCACTTAACTAGAGAAAAAATCATTACTCTGAACATAAACTTAACTCGACAATCTGATATCAGTTGGTTTTAGAATCTTGGAAAAATCCTGGCACATAGTAGTATTTGTAAATTTACAAACACTTCATTTTCATTAAACAGAAAAATCACCTCTCTCTTACTTTCTCACCACTCCATGCATGGCTGCATTGATTAGATCTACACACATCTCCATTCCTGGACAACATTACTCCTAAAAAGCGGAAACTGCAATTGTTCACACCCCAGATGGGTCTGCCTCCTCTCCCCTACCCACGAACCCACCTGGCTCCCTCAACCGTCCTCAGGAAAAAAAAACATGACTCGCCCCTCACCCTTCGCCTCCGAGCGCCTGCGACTGCGCCACCGCTGAATGCCCCCGCCGCCACCGTCTGTGCGCCACCCTCCTCTCCCTCTGCCGCCGCATCCGAGGTGAGAGGCTTTACCTAGAGACCCGTCTGCCGTCTCAGGCCCCCTTTGGCACGGCTCATCCAAAACAGCTTCACCGGTGAAGCCAAAGCCGGTGAAGCCAGAAAAATTGGCTTTTTCCGGCTTCTGATTCATTTTAACACTGGCTTACAAAACGGCTTCACGCTACAGTGCCTCGATTTCCGCAAAATAAATGAAGCCGAAGCCGACATAAGCCGTGAAAAAGGGGCCCTGGTCCTAGCTCCCGTTGCGGGGGATGCCGGTCGAGTCGTACTGACGCAGCGTGGCCGGTTCTGCGATCCGCAGCGAGGTGCGCGGGGTGCGACGGGCAAGCTTGACAGGGCGCTGGACGAGGCCGAGGCCGAGGCCTACGCTTCCAAGGTCAGCACTGTTTTTCCCACTCCCTCGCTGTTTTCTCGCACGCTTCTGCTGAACGAAAACTTGTGTTTTGCAGCTTGTTGATTTGGGAGTTCAAGTACATATTAGGTGGTTCATTAGTGTTACATCGTACGATTGAGTACACTGGCACTGAGAGTATAATTCTTGATCCATCTGGTTTACTAGAAAGAATGTGTGCTACGATTGAGTACACAAGGCAGGGCGTGCTTTACAGTTCATTGCACACAATATTGGGTCATGATTCTTTCAAATCAAAATTAAGAACTGCGTTGAGAACTGTGTTATGCATTTAAGGCAAAATCTGTAGCATTTAGTCTCCAATATGCATATTTTTGTGTATTGAGAACTGTGTCGACTATATTTTTGTATATTGAGAACTGACTGGACCTAATCAAGAGTGTGGACAAATATTAGGCGGTGTGGACAAATATTGTCAAATGGAGTATTAAGCTGATTCCACAACGGAGTGGGTTCTAACATTGATCTTTTTGGAATCCAATTTTAAGGTCTGGTCCATACTAAAAAATAGATGTTTTTAAGACATGCATGTTACTGTTTCTGGAGTATTAAGCTGATTTGGCATCTAAATTAACCAAAGGAGAGCCATGTGAATCCAAAGATTTTCCAGAACCTCTTCTCTAACTTAGGGCTAAGGGCGTATGCCATTTTCTAACTGATTTTTAGCTACATGTTCTCTATTCGCAAATTTGCTTAGTAATGTGCGGTTGCAGTGAGTAGGCAATGTAATTCTAGATCCCCACAACACAAAAATAGGATAGTGATTTCAGTCAGTGGGCATCTCTTTGTACCACTGATTTTAATTCTTGGCTTCTTTCACATATTCAACTATGGTTTTCATATAGCCAATTTCTTGCAAAAGAAATTGAGAACTAATAGTTCTATCCTATAGCAAAGGCCAGTTATTTTGTGACATGGCATATGCTATCAGTATTCCAAAGAAGAAAGACCTCGTCGAATCAGATATAGAACTTGTCGGGGTTATGTAAATGGGATACCCAAAGGTCGGTTATAAGAGTTGCAAAGCACGGCCTAGCTAGCCACGTCCTAGCTAACCGTGACCCGCCTCGACCTCTCGCCCTCGAGCCACACGAGGCCCGCCTCGACCTCTTCCACCTCTTGACCACACACCACGCGGTGCCCTCGACCGCCTCCAGCCTTAGCCACTAAGGAAAGGACGAGAGGTGGGAAGACGCATCCAATACGCCTGCCCGAACGGGACGCACACACGTACACTCCACTGAGTACAAGAGGACGACAGCCCCTCTGACCGTCCGGCCCTAGGGCAGAGTGTCACCTCGGTCAACACCCCGCTGACAGACAAGACGACACCAAGACTCGGCAATGTCACCCCGCGTGGCTCAGCACCGCCCAAATCCTGTCCAGCCTGATGGACGGGCGTATGATCACAACCACTATGGCATGGGAGTCACGACCGGGAGCTAGCTCTCCCATTCTGACCGGATCCTATGCCCCCGACCTAACCATGCGAGGTTGGGACAATGGGACCTCGACCCGGAGAGCAGGTAGCATCGACCCGAAGACCAGATAGCCCACGATGGACAGCCATTCTCCCTGTACAACCGTACCACGACTTCCCCTGAAGAAGCGGACGCCAAGACGGAGGCCACGACAACAACTAGCAAGCCCAAACCAAGTAGGGGAGCAGGTGAACAACCACCACTCCCATGGCGTCACCATGGCCAGCACAGTACCTCCACCATACACCATGCCTTGGCGTAAGGAGTAAGCTCACGATGACCATACCCAGACGTGTTGACAAGACCGACAGGCTTGTCGACCAAGCAAACTAGCTTCTCCCTCCTTCGGGCTCCTGGCCACTCGGGCGGGGAGAACCCTACACCTCTGCATGTAACCTAGCCCCCACAGCTATATAAGGGGAGCCAGGCCTTCTTCCAAACAATAGATTTCCCCTTCCTCAAACTCTTCCTACTAGTAGGACCTTAGCTTGCATACCCCCTATTGTAAGCCGTTTGGAGCACTTTGACATTGAGGAACACGTACTCACAGTCTTTGTCACTAGACGTAGGGCTTTATCCCGAACTAGTATAAATTCTCTATGTCTTGAGTGCTAACCATTGAATCCCTTGAGCAGCACGACGCTAAATTTACTAGTCGGTTCTCAAAACATCGATAGTCGGTGCGCTAGGTAGGGGAAAGTCACGCACTCAAGTTTGTGATCAGGGCATCGATGGCACCCTTCACCCACTTTTGGTTCATTGTTCACGCGGCCCCCGACGTCCGTGCTCGCTTTGAGAGCCTTGAGTTCATCGACACTAACGGGCCGATGCCCATCTCCGGATTCCATCATGACCAAGTTCTTTGTCTCGGGGACCTGGATTATGTGGTGGACCACCTGGGGCAGCTGCACCTCTGTGAAGGGACCATTCCCCGCTATGGGCTTTACAGTGCGGCCCCGCGACCATCGGCTTGGACGCACCCACACGGTGGACCAAATCGCACCACAGGCCCAACCTTGGGCCATAACAGAGTTGGGGAGCGACCCATACGCCGACCACCGTTCTTCCTCCAATCTGCCAGAGCAAACTCGTGGAACACCACTATAAGGGCAGGCATGCGCTCGCCAGCAACAGAGATAAAGGAGAGGCCCCATCCAATCTGGAAGGGTGCCTCGTAATCTTCAATGGGTCCCCCATCAAGAGCGCATGTCCGCGTAGGGGTTTGTGGCTTGAGAAATCTACATGGCCGACACTTCGAGGGAAGCGGCTCCCGCTTTCCTAAAATGGTCGGAGGTCGCGGTTACTTTTGACGCGGCCGATCGCCGTGACAACATTCCACAGCTAGGCTATTTTCCCCTCATCGTCAGCCCAATAATCGGCAATACGCACCTGACTATGGTGCTCATGGATGACAGGAGCAGCCTGAACCTCCTGTATGTTGAGACGTACGACACCATGGGACTATCACGAGCCGCCTTACGGCCGAGTGACGCCCTGTTCTATGGAGTCATACCAAGGGCTCAGGCAGCACCCCTCGGGCGAGTCGACTTATCTGTGACATTCGGTAGCCACAACTTTCGCACAGAGACGCTGAACTTCAAAGTAGCGGACCTTCCCAATGCAAGCAATGCGACACTGGGGCGGCCATGCTACGCCAAGTTCATGGCCATCCCCAATTTGCGTACCTTCAACTCAAGACCTCGGGGCCGCGAAGGATCATAATGGTGAAGGCGATGTCCTCCAAGCGCACATCTGTGAATAGGAAAGCTACGACGCCGGGGCGGCCGCATCCTGAGCCCCCAAGGTTAGGAGCATCCGCGCCACCGCAATATATATATATATATATATGTAGTTCTATATATAGAGTAAGGCTATTCTGCAGCTGGCCATAGAATAACTTATTCTATAGCCACCTTGATTTACGATAATGTTTGTACCAATTTACGATAACATGAATACGCATTTATGATACTCGTGTTACTACAACTCATGGTGATATTATAGTAAATCACTTAGTAAGGAGTTACTGTAATCTCGTGGCCACAGAATAAGTTATTCTATGGGCAGCTGCAGAACAGTAGTTCTATATATATATATATATATATATACAAGCGCACAGATAATATAACATTGTAGCACTTCACCCGAGAGTATTCCAGGTATCGTTATTTATATTTTTACCACAGGGAAGGACGAGCAGATGGAATATATTGATAACTTATACTTTTGATGGAGGAATAAATCATAACCATTATTCTACTCACAATAGAAGTAAGTCAAGAGATAAATATATATGAATGGTAAATGATAAATGATATTGATCACTCAGAGTACTCCTTTCT